GACAGCTACGAAGAAGAGTATACCGAGCACGCATGAGGAAAGAATTAGATGATCTATGGTTAGAAGATAGTGACGATTCACCATACGACATATTTGACTTAAGGTCATTATTTTACTTATCAATATTAAACAACTAAGGGAAATTGATGTCGGGAATAGGGATCTTAAAATAAAAAAGGGAAAACAAATATTTTAAAAATAAATGATTATATTTTATTTTAACAAATAAAAATTGGAAATATATAAAGGATTGTTAAAAATATTTATACTATATCTATATACTATATCTTATATAATCTACTAAATGACATTTTTAAATTTTGTAAAGTTTAGAATTTTGAATATGAATATGAAAGAACTTCGAAATAAAAATCCAAAACACAAAACATCACTAATAAAATTGTCCACATTGTCCACTTTCACCGAGGAGGGTTGTGAGGTCTCCGCAATGGGGCAGGAGGATCTCGCGGACGGAACAGTCGCCTTCCCTCTTGAACCTCTGCTACCGGAACGGCGGGCCTTACCCGAATCCCGGTAGTGACGAACCAGAAGTAGTCCCCTATCCCCGGATAGAAAAAATATCCAGGACCTCTTACTTCGCCAATGTTAATATGGCTGAGAATCCTGGACATTTGTGGGGCAGGGAGCTGAAGCCACTCGTCTGGCAAGTCAACAACCTCTTCATGACCGTTTAGATGGTTCGGAAGGGTGTCAAAGAATTCCTGAAAATAAACAAAATTAGTAAAAACGAAATGAATAAATAATATCGATAACAAATTCGTAATACTTACAAAGTCGCGAGCTTCTTCCTGATTTTGTCCGTTTGCCGGAGGACGCTCAGTTTCCCTCGTAGGAAGTTCCAATAGAAACGATAGGATGAATAGGAAAAAATTAAACATGTTGACTATTTCGTTAAGTTATACTCAATGTCGAACAAGTAATGAACAGGAATCGAATCTAATAGTCTAACGGTGAGAGAAACGAGTGACAACGTGCATTCAGACCCTTTGCGCGTAAAACTAAATGATTTTCTGAGCGCCAGTACCATGATTTTGGCTGCTTATATAGTCGATTTTTGCTGATGCTCTAGGTATGGTTAGGACATTAGGAATGCACTCAACTAACCAGCTGGGTAGATGACACAGGCAGTGCACTGGGTAACATGCTGAGTCTGCAATTATATTAACTGTCGGCTATGTTATTATTCTGTTTCGGAATGAAGGCCGATATACGTAACAACATATAGAATACTTGAAACTGGGAGCCCTACTTACCTTAGAGCAGCTCTTATTAATAAATCTATGTCACATGCATCGCATTCACTACGGAGAAGGGTAAACGATGTTGTAATTCCGATCTACCGAACTGAGTTCTATCGGCATGCGTTACATATTTCTGGTCCTCTGTTTTGGAACACGCTACTATCTGCCGTTCGCGATGCGTCTTCATGTCGCGTTTTTCGGGAAAGACTACGCTCCTTCCTCATTAAAAAACAGGAATAGTGACTTTTGCTACTAACTGATTGCTTCATTAAATTGCCTGTTTAATATAAGTTTACAGAAACGATTTGTATGTTTCTCCGATTACCCTCTTGGCTGCTAGCCTCAATGGTATTGTTTACGTGCCTCCAGGCCGAAGATATAGATATAACGCAAATACGTTCTCTAAGATATTGTATATACTTTTATTTATCTGATTACTTTATTATATTCTATACTATTGTATCCCTGTGTTTCTGTTGTTTATATCTTCTTTATATATGGTAAGCTTTTACCATATTATATTATTGTACCTTATACTATACTTATACTATTGTATCTTATTTTTTCTGTCGTTTATCTTCCTTATATAAGAGTTTACGATATAGTCCATCGATTAAAATTTGCGGTATTTGTTGATTATAATATAATGATTACTTCAATGTATTGTTACGTTCCACTCTTTATAATTATAAATGGCAAAACACATTAATTTCTTCTACACATTATAATCATTTAATCATATAATCATTAATGTAACATATTATTAACGTTACACTAATAATATTAAATATTGCATTTTACCTTGTTAAAATTGAACAATGATAAATAAACGGATAGGCCTGAATCTTCTCGGATGACATTCAAGGAGATTCAAATAACGGAGTACGACTTGGTATGTTGATTATCGGAAAAGGGTTAGCTATCAATCGATATATTAAGAATTTTGAAGAAGGGGAGTCACATTGACCAATCAGAAGTAGTTTTACTACTATAAAAAGGGAGTCAGAAGTAGCATTATGTGTGTTTTAGGAAGAGACTAAGAGTGCAACATCAGAGTTGTTGGGTGTGTCGTGAGTGAAGTCAAAAATACCAAGTACCTCTAAAACTTATCCAAGTTACCAAAATCAGAGTATTCACAATTACTCGTAACCTTCCCGGATAGAACTGAAGCCGTTGTATAGGGCCTCTATCCATCCTTACTATTTCTAAAAAGGTAGAACTGAAGCCGGATCTAGGGCCTCTACCTTATCCTACCAAATCATTAATACAAATCGAAACTTCGATCAACATTCCATACATCATCAGAACTTGGATAGGACTGATTCACGCTGAACATCCTAATAGAGATTCGATCGGATACTGAAGGAATTCCAAATATACTTCTTATTCAAAATCTGAGTAAGTACAGACTTATGCTTAAACGAAGTGGTAGAAAAGTTCAGTTATGTAAAATATTCAGACAATTAAATAAACCATATACTCAAAAACAAACAAAACCAACGAGCCAAAAGGATCTTGTCGCGACTGAATATCAAGTTAACGAACAAAACAATTCTATTCAATACTTACCGTGGAAATTGATTCCTATAGAATTTTCAAGTCTACCAAAAGATTTACCTACCGAAGAATCACTTAAAAATAGAATATTTCCAGATCCGCGGAGACATATCTTGAGAAATTATCACAACTCCAATTCATAAAATTCGTTAGGCCTTGTATTAACACGTGGACGTGCTGTAAAAGTAGACCGAACCAACGAATCATCCCTTATATTACAAACTTCATTTACGATTGCTTGATTTTCCGGATTTAGCAATCGTAACAATATATATACGCGTATGTGTGTCAAACGTAAATAATATAATGATTTTTTTTTCAGGGGCTAGGACTACGCCTTCACTGGCGAATAGCTGGTGTCCAGATGTGGGCAGCTTTCAGATTGGTGTGTATTACACTATTCTATTTCATACTATATACATCATACATGATTATTATCTTTTTTTTTCAGGGTCTGGCCAGCTGTTTTTTGTAATTTTTTATTTTTTATTTATATTTCTAATTTCTAAGCTATTTTTTAATTAAATTTTTTATTTTTATTTTGCAATTTATTTTTTCATTTTTTATAATAAATTTTTAAAACCGATTTTCCTTGATCCCGCACAGCCCGCTTAAAAAAATGTACAATTCATCTTCTCTTAAAATGTACGACACATGTTTAAAAATACCATATTTTTCTTTTTTTTTATTTCCTTCACCTCCATCTCCCCATATCTTGTTAATAATGGTAACGGGCGGTAGGAAATACAACATTAAGCGTATTCCTCTATACAGGGCTCAGGCTAATCAGCGAAAATATATCACACCAGACAGCTTTATAATATATATATAGCGTTTCTTACAAAAACACTGTGTTCTATTTCACCATGGGACGCTTACCTCCTTAGGATAATTAAAAAAATTACCGACCGACGGTCACTGCATAATTACCGACCGTGATACGCCCCCTGGGGGACATACGACGCTGTTGCTGGGTGGTTTCGGGCCTTAGGACCGCGTGGTGAGAGGGTCTGCAACTGTGTCGCAGGTGGAGGGGAGAGCTGGTCGCATAGGCGAGGCGGTGGCGCCATAGTGCAGTGCGGGGGACCGGAGCACGGTGCACTCTATGACTCATAGGAACAGTGGTGGGGGTTTGTTGTGACTCCCATAAGTGGTGTGTATCTACTGTGACGTGATTCTCCGGAATCGCGCCACAAAAATTAATAAACTTTTCTTTTCCGCTCAACCTAGGCTCCGCACGACAATCCACTAGCGAAATTCCGTCTGCGACATTACCGTTAAGTTTTCCGCTTGTGAACGTCTACTATCGTCCCTGATGTCAGTTCCGATTACGTTTTCTAAGACTAATTATTCTTTTGCTTTTGTTACGATATACGCAATCTTTACTCTCGAGTCTCTCGACAACGACATAAGGGCGTGAGGACAGGACAGCCACATTGGAGATTTTGGAGGATTTTATGGCGATTCCGTTTGGCTGTTGATGGCGATTTTGAGATTCTTCTGGCCAGCTGTTTTTTGTAATTTTTTATTTTTTATTTATATTTCTAATTTCTAAGCTATTTTTTAATTAAATTTTTTATTTTTATTTTGCAATTTATTTTTTCATTTTTTATAATAAATTTTTAAAACCGATTTTCCTTGATCCCGCACAGCCCGCTTAAAAAAATGTACAATTCATCTTCTCTTAAAATATACGACACATGTTTAAAAATACCATATTTTTCTTTTTTTTTGTTTCCTTCACCTCCATCTCCCCATATCTTGTTAATAATGGTAACGGGCGGTAGGAAATACAACATTAAGCGTATTCCTCTATACAGGGCTCAGGCTAATCAGCGAAAATATATCACACCAGACAGCTTTATAATATATATATAGCGTTTCTTACAAAAACACTGTGTTCTATTTCACCATGGGACGCTTACCTCCTTAGGATAATTAAAAAAATTACCGACCGACGGTCACTGCATAATTACCGACCGTGATACGCCCCCTGGGGGACATACGACGCTGTTGCTGGGTGGTTTCGGGCCTTAGGACCGCGTGGTGAGAGGGTCTGCAACTGTGTCGCAGGTGGAGGGGAGAGCTGGTCGCATAGGCGAGGCGGTGGCGCCATAGTGCAGTGCGGGGGACCGGAGCACGGTGCACTCTATGACTCATAGGAACAGTGGTGGGGGTTTGTTGTGACTCCCATAAGTGGTGTGTATCTACTGTGACGTGATTCTCCGGAATCGCGCCACAAAAATTAATAAACTTTTCTTTTCCGCTCAACCTAGGCTCCGCACGACAATCCACTAGCGAAATTCCGTCTGCGACATTACCGTTAAGTTTTCCGCTTGTGAACGTCTACTATCGTCCCTGATGTCAGTTCCGATTACGTTTTCTAAGACTAATTATTCTTTTGCTTTTGTTACGATATACGCAATCTTTACTCTCGAGTCTCTCGACAACGACATAAGGGCGTGAGGACAGGACAGCCACATTGGAGATTTTGGAGGATTTTATGGCGATTCCGTTTGGCTGTTGATGGCGATTTTGAGATTCTTGACGTAAACGACAACCTTGGAGATGCAAGTAGATACAAGAGATGCCTTGGAGACCAAGAGATGCCCGCCGGTTCCGTCGACCTGGATGTCGCCGGTATCCTGCTGCTGCCACGACGCCAAAGAAGCCCTGAAGCACCCGGGAGGGGACTCCGCCGTTTCCGTCGGCCGGCGGGGGCTGCCCTCTGAGCCTATCCGCCGCCGATACGACCGGCAGAGAGATGAGGCTTTTCTCCCTGGCCCGCCTAAGTCCTGCCGAACACCCACGTCAGCGCCGCCGTCCGGCGGAGAAGCCGCCGACATTCCTTACTGGTCAGGCCCAGTGTACTTCGAGGGCCGTGCGTTCAGAATCGCCGTTCGTCTCCGCTTGGCCGTTTCCGTTGCTGCGCGTCGACGCTCGGGTGAGCTCGGGTACCCTCGTCAACGTTCGTCCCGTTCCGGTGCCGTCCCGCCTCACCTGTGCCCGCTTGCCAACGATCGTCGATCGATAATTTATTGTCGTGCGAAGTTTAAGCGAGCAGCGATGTGCTAAGGATATTGCGATATATATTGCAACGTTATT